TCGTTGCTACGCGAGCGTCGGTTGTACACAAAACACGTTAGCAAAGATAAACCCAGCGTGACATTGAAAATACCCCTGTGAATGCGAAAGAGATGAGCGGCTGCTATAGATGCGCCTTTGTGCGGGTGCGGGAGGCGGTGCCCGCTACCGACGCTGGTGGCGCTGACGATGAAGATGACGACCGGGAATGTGCAAGTGGGTGTCCGGCGGGCCATGCGTCGGTGCCGATCTCTTCGGATGTGTCCGCCTGCTCGACGTCCGGCTGGGCTCTCGACCGCCCATCCGGCGTGGACGGCGCCGTGGCCACCGCCGCACTGAGATAGCGCGCATACGGCGAGTCGGATGCATGGCCGGGTGGCAGCTGTGCCGCACCTGCTGCACCTGCGGCGGGGGTGTCCATCCAGGGCGGTGCCGCCTGTGCAGGCCCGCGCGGATTGCCCGCGGCGAGATTGTTATCCCACATGTGCGGACCGGACCTGCCCTGCTGCAAGTGCGTCGGATTGAACCTCGCGAGCCCCAGCGTATCGCGGTCGCGAATCGCCGCGGCCGAGAGCCCCATCTTGGTCAACTCGCTGCGTTCGCGCAGCCACTCTACAATCGCCTCGACCACCTGCGGATAGAAGCCGCGAAAGAGGTGGTCGGCATGGTCGATGAGCTTGATGCTGCAGCTGCCCGGCCGCCTATGCACGCCGCTCAGGATGTTGCCGTACGACGCCACGTCCGACGCGGGCACCGACTTGTCCGCCGTACCGTGGATGAGCAGCACGTCGGTATTGTACGGGAAAGCCAGGGCGATCTCTCGTGTGGGCCAGGCGGCAAACTGGTCCACCTGCTCCGGGTAGACGTGCAGCTCCTTGTCCTGCCCCGCCACGCGCGCCTGCCAGCGGAAGAAGCCCTCTTTGGCAAAGGCGGACAGATAGGCCGGATCGCGCTCGTGAATGTTGGCCATGTTGAAGCGCGCCGAGAGCCCCACAAAGAAGGGCACGCGCAGCGACGGCGGCAGCGCGTCCGGACAGTGCTTTGCGAACCAGGCGAAGCCGTCGAGCCCACCGCGCGAGTGGCCAATGACGATCTCCACCGTGTACTCGAGCTTGGTGCGCAGATAGTCGACGACGGCCACGAGGTCCTCTACGTCGTCGGCGAGGTTGCCCATGGACCACGTTCCCGGAGTCTCTCCGTTGGCGCGGAAGTCGAAGCGGAACGAGTCGACGGGGAGGGCGCGCGCGAGCTGCTTGTGGTAGATCTGGTCCTTGTGCGCGAGGACGCCGTGGAGGATGATGGCGATCTTGAGGCCGCGGGTGTCGCGCTTGTCGATGGGATAGATGGGGTAGCCGCGACGCTTGAAGGCCTGGTCCTTGTTGCGCAGACGCTGCATGGTGTCCGGGTCGTCGTCGAGGTTCATGCCGGCGGTTTGGGAGCGCGAGGACGACGAGGGATCGTTCGAGATGTCGGAGCGATGCGAAGCGTGGGCTGGATGCGCGCGCTCGATGGGTGCGGTGGTGGAGCGCGAGGTGTACATGGGATGCGGTTCGTGTTCCTGTGGGTTGTGCGGTGGCAGGGCGATCTGGGCGAGGATGCCGACGATGCCGATGGTCTCGCCGGTGGCGGTGGTCATGGGGATGTGCAGCTTGGTTTCCCTCATTGTGGCGGAGGCGCGCGCCGCTCTCGGGCGGTCGCTCGGGCGGGGACGGCAAGTGCCAGCTGGCGAATGTGCGTGTGTGCGACTAGCGAGATGGAGAGGGACGCCAGAAGCACAGAGACGGGCGCATCAACGAGGAGGTGAACGCCGGCAGCTAGCGTCGGGCGGGGAGGGTTCGGATGAGTGAGAAATGTGTTGGAGGTAGTGGTCTATGATGTTAGTATCGCCGAGGGAGTATCGCCGAGGGGAGGATGGGCCGTGGCGTGCGGCGTATGGCGTGGGTGGTGGAAGCGAGGATGCTCAAGCGGCGGGGACTGGTACGGATCCGATAGATGGAAGCGAGGATCCTCGGAGTCTGTCACTGGCGGTAAGCTCGGACGGGAGCGAGTGGGTGGCGACCACGGAAACGAGAAGATGTGCAGTCTGAGCGAATCGACGGGGCCTTTGGCAGCGAGCAAGAGAGAGTGAGTGGAAGAGATTTGAGAGACACACGCCGCGTTGGTTGGGGTAAAGGGACACGAGCGCGCGGCAATCCACCACCTGCCAGGCCAAGCTGATGGGCCGAGAAAGTGTGAAATCCAGACCACGGCCCTTGCTCCTTTGGTTCCCAAGCGACAGGGAATTGTGGGGGACCCTGCCAGCTAGCTGCCCAGGGTTTGGCCGCTGTTGGACCCTCTCTGCGCGGCTGCTTTTTTTTTTTTTTTTTTTTTTTTTT